AATGAGCAGTTTTTATCAACAGAGGGAAGAGATCCTGGCCGTTGAGGCCATCATGTTGAACTGCCATGTTTCTACAGTAGCCCAGAATGGACAAATAAAACACTGGCTCTAGATAGAGTCTCTTGTGGCCACCGTAGTTTCTCCTACTTGCTTGGAACTGGGGGGTGTGGGAAGGGCATTACTTAACTGTATAACAATCAACAGACCAAATCTGACGTACTGGTAGTTTTTGAGCGAGTTGCTAATGTCAGCAGAGCATTCTTGATGAATATATATAATATAATCCACCATTTACTTGTTTGGTTTGTCATTGTTTGTTATTTAGGCTATATGTTCTCCATACATGAACAAATACAAGTTCATTGCTTGCCTGTTTTAAAATGTTTTGCTCCCTCTTTCACAGTATAATCTCTATTTCATTTTACATCTCTCAGGATTTTCAGCAGCTGAGATAAAAAAGCATTTCACATAATTTATAACCAATAAATGCAACTTGCATGAAAAAGAGTTTGTAATTGGCCATTTCCTGTTTTGTATATATTGATTTAGTTTTGCTAATACTCAACAAATTAAAATTCAGTTTTCAGCTTTATTCTCACCCAATTAAGGCTCAGAGAGGAGAACAGCGTGGTAGCAGTACTTGCTCCTCTGTAATCACCACAGTGAAGTCTCCAACCTGTACACATTGATCTTGTATTGATCTGTGTATGAGAAACTCTGGTTTAACCCAGTTCTCTGTTCTCACTCTCCATTTTCAATCGATATGCTGAGTGAGGGGCAGCAACTGAATGGTCAGAATCTGACACAGATAGAGAAAGAGAGGGAGACAAAGACAAGAAAATAAAAGGCAAGGTTCAGTTACAAGTCCAATGTAGCAATAACAAAAATCTTGGCAAAAGAACAATTCCCCAGCTTTACCATACAGTATGTGTGTGTGTTTGAGATTCCTCTATACTTTGCAATTATGAGGAGGAGGGCAGCCTTACTTCAATCATTCATGAAGACCTCCCTTTACACTCTTTATTCTCGCTGGTTGTGGGAAATGTCAAATATGCTTAGTTTGCCTTTATAGTGCAGCTTTTGTTGTGACAGAATAAGGCTACAAGGAAATGGTTCTCCTCCATCTTAGAACATCAAAAGGTCTTTGAATTGCTTCTGTCGCCAAGAAAGATAAATGTGGTGTTGTCGCGTCTGCCAGTAAAATGTAAAACCATGTGTCAATTCTGTCAGCCTGGGAGAGGCTTTGTAACAAAATTGTTTACTCTTCTTCTTGAATAGCCTGATCACATTTATATTAGCTGCATCATGGTGGTAAAACTACTCTGCATCAGCAAAATGTTACAATGGCTTACAACTACTTTCAGAGTTTTATGAGCAAAGCAGAGCCTCTCCCGTGGCACACTTAATTTTCACATTTATTCCGAGACCATTTCTCATTTAAAACCTAAATGTATGTTTCCCGTTATGGGAATCCTCACAGAATCAATCAAAACAAAGTCAGTTTTCCAGGGTGAATGTTTGCCTCCTGGCAAGCAGATTTAAGCATCTATTTCAGGGAGGAAGGAAAACCAACTGGCGCTTGTAATCAATACATCAAAAAAAAAAAAAAGCCAATCAATTGTAAAATATGCAAGCTTTCTAATTTAATCAGATGTTAAGAACTAATGACATGATGATAAAACAGGTATTGACGATAAACTGTCTGTAAAACCTTACTGTAAACTAGAGCATGTATGATATGATAAAAGACATAGGGTAGAAATCTGACTTGGAATTTTGAGACACAAACCTTTATAAGGAAATATCACACAAACTCACCTTGAAAATAATTTCACAATGTATTGTTATACTGTTTCACCCATGCACGGTACTGTTTTTACTAGACATTTAATATGGATGCAATCATTGTATAAGCATTCAACTGATCTCTACAGACCATTTTAAAATGAATCTGTTTTGAGTTCCAGCTCCTTCATCCTCTTGGAGAACTGTAGCTAACAGAATGAGGATACCGCACTCATTTGCTGCCTGTGTCAACAACATCTTATCATCTATAAGCATGAAAAGTGTTCTGGCAGCTTTTCTGCCTCATTAAGACAAACTGTCACCCTGAATGCAAGCTAAATGAGGTGTCAAATCAGATGCCATTGTTTCATGTAGACGCGTGTACGTAGACAAATAAGAGGATTATACAAACTCCCTTACTCTTTTTGGTATTTATCTTAGCTACTTATTTATGCTAAACAAAAAGCACATAGGATTATTTAATGCTTATATTGCTAGCTTTAGATAAACATGTATGTTTAGTGTTGTTCGAATGTGCGATTTGGCAATACACAACTGCACAGAGTAAAGATGTATAGTGTAATCGAGGTGAAAAATACAAAAAATTAGATGGAAAAAGAGAAAAGGGGAGATTGTATTGATGCCAAAATGAAAGCAAGAATTCACAGTCAGCTATTTTTAGTCAATTCATCTCACCGTCCTAAAAGGACTGTGGATTCCATAGATGCTTTATTTTTATGTCCAGCAGTACACAAAGAAAAACCCTTTATTTCTACCTCTGTCTTAACAAGATACAAAGGAATCCTGCCAATACATACAGCAAGAACAGCAAGTCAGCACTCAAATTTCAAAACCTAAAGAAAACTCTTTCCACATAAAGGTTCATAAATGAGGTAAAAATCTTTGTTGCCATTGGAGTGTGTCTAACTAGCAGCCAGCTGGAGAACTTTTGATCATTTCAGGATAACTGTCCTGTCACAGCTACTGAGGACATACAAAGGAGTTCATCTTTGCTGTTCACACTGTCTAGAGAAATCTGATGACTAGATAGATAAAATATAAATAGATAAATCGAGAAAAGGTTGCCAGATTTAAAAAAAAATTCTTCAGACATAATGTACCTAATTTGCTCCAAGTGTAATACATTTGAATAGATTATTTCTACCACTACAAATACCCCAAACAACTGATTTGAGGAAAATGTATCAGACAGTGGTGTAAATATGCCACTTTTGGATTCACACTGCAATCATTTGGCTATAGAAACACACTTAACTATCATCCTTCCACCCTTAATATCACTGTTTTTTAAATGTTTTAATTAGTGATTTCTAAGAGTTCAAATAGTGGGTCTCCAGGAACCTCAGTCAAAAGCATCCACTTTTTTTAATAGATAGAGCTGAGTTCATGTTTGAGTTAATTTGTGCCATGGGTCCAAATTTAAATTATCACACACTATTGGGGGGATGCACACAGATTTGCGCTGTCAATTTTCTTTTTACACAATTTGAATATTAACTTTCCTAAAAAAATGCTGTTAGTTTTTCTTGACATGACATTAATTACATACTGAACTGATTGGCCAGTTTGTCCTTTTTGAGCTGTTAAAAGATACAGAGGCATAAAGATGAGTAGATAATAGTTTTTATATCGGGCTATACTGCTCCTTTAAATTTGATTTGGCTTTCTATATGTGAAGAAGGCTCTGTAGCTAAAACCAGAATTGTATGTGCTCAAAGCAAAGTATTCACTGTATCATTTAGCGTAAAGGGGTGCCTCTTTTACTGTAAGTGGACTTTAAGACCGAAAAGAAAGTTGTCACAAAGACAGGTGTAGCCAACACGTGCAGTTTTAATTCCTCCAGTCTTTAACTTAAAAATCAGGTTTGTGTTGCTTACTTCCCAGTGGTGCTATTACATTGTTATTTTTGGAAGTTATTGCTTAATCAGTTATTAAATGTGTGCATCTGTTTGCCGGTACTAAACTCTAACTGTGTTTAAATGGCTGTTTCATTAAAACTGGAACTGAGTCTGTCTTTTAAATGGATTAGCAGTGTCATTGCCAAAATGGCAAAGTCACCCTGGAAGAGAACATCTTTTGTTTTGGCTTTTTCACAGTATAATGTCATGTGAAAGTTCCATATGGAAACTTGTGTCAGCAAATGTCTTCTGGGACTTGCAATAATGTAACACATATGATGTCAACTGTCAACTAGACCATGATAATTAGTATGTGTGTAGGCAAAAGGAAAGAGAAGTAATTTAGTATCTATTCCCTATTTCCTATTACAATTCAGACACCTACCCTATGAAGTGCAATCCTGTCTAATTTGATGTATCAGTAACACTGTTTTTGTTGTTGTCATTTGTTTGAGTTCATGTTAGTTATTATACCAGTGTATTTAAATCTGTCAGATCTTGATAGGATTGTTTTGCAGTTTACACCCACATTTATTTATGCTTTTTTTGGGTGGTTTTCTGACTGTTCTCTGGGTTGAGTGCTTTCCTGTAAAACATAAAAAAAAATGTGTGCACTGTATTTGAGTAGTGCATGTGTAGCTGAGAAAAAAAGGGAATAAGAACACTAGCCTACACAAGAATGCCTTAGAAAATTGTTTTTAAACCTTTATTTCTGTTTGGTGTTTCTCCGCTCAGAGATTTCATTTCGCGTGGGTGTGATTGTGGAATTAGTCTTTGATAATAAACTGACTTTCTGCAAACTGCTACTCACGACTGTCAGTATTAATCGTCCATGGGAATCTTTAAAGAATGTCCTTGTAGTCCACGGGCAGGTTTTCCTTTTGAATGTAGTTCAATTAAATGTACAGTCGAGAAAGTCAAATATGTCACACCATGCATATACTGTACGTTACTCGTAGTGACCTACATATGTCAACCCATCAGACTGTTTTTCTATTATTAAAGCTTCTATAATGGATGATATAAGGGATAACTTATTATACTACAGCCCCCTCCCCCCAACTCTACACACATGCACACACACGTACGTGCATAATGAACTGCTTTAAATAGCAACAAAATATGTGTGGAAGAATTATACATAAGGACAGGCTCCCACCTCATTAGGCATAATTTTGGTAGATTATTGCAGACTTGATGATTCTATAATGAAACTGTCAAAAAGATGTACTACTCTTGTGTACTGTATATTTCCTGGCCTTGCTTAACACAACCATCTTCTCTTTTTTCTTTTAGTCTTAGGTCCCAAGGATATCAGTCAGAGGACAATGGACCCAGACAGGGACTCATCAACAATGGACAGAGAGAGCGAAGTCCATGCTGTCACCACTGTCTCACCAATGAACGTCCCCAACCACCAGCCTGTCCTCAAGGGCCTGTTGCTTCATGAGCACCTACTTACACGGGACTTCCAGGGTGACCAGCACTTTTTTAGGAGGGATGGCTCTGTGGCCGCCTATTCCACCATGCCAGGCTCTGTGTCTGCCTCAGATGCAAAAGACCCTGTCACTCAGTTGGTGCCCCACGAGGATGCCCCAGCCTTCTCAGACATTGCCTCTACTGCCACCGTGGCTGCCACCTCCCCACTGACCACATTTTCTCCTACAACACCAAGGCCGCCCATGTCTCTCCCTCAAAAGAAGATATCTAAAGAGAGGACCAGGGGGGAAGACAAGGTAGAACCAACAACAGACTCCCTCACTACTCAAGTGACCCCCAACAATAGAGGTTCAGTCAGTGAAAACAACCCAGTGGCTTCCTTATCCTCGCAGAGAAGTCGGCCTCAAAGTTGGAGTGCTTTTCCCGCAGAGGGAACCCTTGCACCTTCCTCAATGAGGGTGGAGAAAGGGGATGCTAGGGAAACAGCAGTGAAAAACAAAACCAGCCCAGATCATCCACTCCTCAACCCAACTTCAGCATCCAGAGAAGAGGGTACCACCATGACGTCCACAACCGTTACCACAACAACCACCATCACCACCGTGCAAACAGCAGGTAGGGATCTTTGTGGTTTTTCTGACTTTCAATGATGTACTAAGCAGAACATCCAAAAGGCTAAGGGAACTAAATAGCTGCAGCATCCAAATAAGTTTTTCACAGATGAAAATTCAAAGTTGAGACTACCTTCCACCAGAGATTTAACACATCTATCCCAGAGGACAGGAAAATTAAGAATCAGGTCATCAACATCACTGCTTTTATTTGGCATGCTGCACACTGCTATTCATCTCTCCACCAGGGATAACAGAGTTGCTCATGTGTCAAAAACAATCTGATTTTCCCTGATGTGTCCTGCCTGTCCTTTCCACTGGCCACTGAGGGCTGAGGGCCCAGATGAGCAGTGTCGGAGAGGAAATCTGCAGAGATAGTTAGAGGGTTATGGGGCCATGGAGACACAGGTGGGCTGTCAGAGAGATCAGTGGTCCGGGAAAGAGGGAATCACTTGTCTTTTTTACTGTCTCCCACAGAACCATGCAGTCTGAATTTCACTGACCCTGAGGGTAACATCGAAATTCTGCAGCAACTTGACTCTGGAGTGGAGTGTAACTACTTGGTTACGGTCTACCTGGGATATGGCATTGAGGTTCAGGTCAGTGTTTAAGGCTCTCTTTGTTGATGTATGATGTTGTCCCTTCAATTTTTAAACCACAACATGCAACTTCTGGTAAAGTGGTAAAGTTCAAAAATGCATCTTTAAACCTACTCTTGAGGGCAGCAGAAACAGCTGTAAATACAATTTACAATTTTATCACTTCATAAGTGACATGACAAGCAAACAGTTAGTATTTACACACACAGCTAGTACAGTGTAACATTAGCATACATTTGCAGTTCAGTTTCATGCCACCTGACCAAATACTTACTTTAGCGGCTAAATGCTTTAATATGTTGACTAGCTAACACAACCAACTAACAACTTTGTTTGCTGTTTGATGGCCTGCAGGTATCATACAGTGGGTTAATCGTGGTTTTTCACTGCATCTGCCTGCTTTTGGAAATGATGCTGATGAGAGAGACTAAACCAAAACAGAACAGTTGCCGGCCATAAAAAACAAACAAACAAACAAACAAACAAACAAACAAACAAACAAACAAAAACCAAGCTCAGCTAGGAGGAACTGCTGAATTGGGTGATAATTGTCTGTGGGTTTGTCACAATGAGCAATCCAGTTCACAAATCATCACTTGATACATTGTTAATCTAACAATATAGCCATTTTAACAAAAACTGTGCTGTTTGATTCTTAAGAATTTGCCCTGAAAGTAAAAAAAATAAAATAAAATGTTGCAATAAAGGGTTTAATTCAAGAAGTGGAGGGTATTGACATATTTTGGTTTAGTCTTAGCTGTTACAGTACTCACTGGTCTTGTGTGGGTTGATGGAGATAGACAGGCAGCAAATTGCTGGGGTGAGTGGGTGGATGGGGGCACAAGTGATGGGGTCTTTCTCAGGTTGAATGTTTGCTTGGTAAGTCTTTTCACAAAAAGGTTATAAAAATTAACTGTCAGTGTGTGTGTTCCCTGGCATTTGCAATTCCTCAAACGCCTCATTTACCACTGGAGACTTTAAAATGTGTGAGCTTTGTCTTGCTGCCTCTGGAGGGCTAAGATAAGTCTTGACAGAGTATATGTTTGAGAGTGTGTTTTTCTCCAAAAGCTTTCTCTGGGTAACTTAAGTAAATCTGGAAACACACACAGTGTGCACAGCGACACATACCTGCACATGTGCATGCACACACAAGTGTGCATTTCACCACATTTGATGAATAAGCTCTTAACTTCCAATGCTTTTCCAGTGCATTTGGCAGAAAATTTCTTTGGACCTATAATGGGAAAACATATAGACATTTTATCATCATGTCTACCAGGCCTGATAAAGAAACAGGAGGAAGCCATGTGTTTCAGCACCATCATGTGAACAGATGGGTCCACAGTCTCCCTCCCTCGTACAGCTAAACTGATATTGATCTGATGGCAAACTATACAGAAAAATGCTTGGCACGGCTGAATAGAATGAGGAGCCATGGTATCTGTTTCCGGCAGAGACATGAACTAACTGAAGATGGAAAGATAGAAATTTAAGTCAAGTATGTGTCATACCTTCTCATCAGCAATGTGTGAAGCTCCTCTGCCTGGAGGCCTTCCAGGTCCAGGGGTTTTAAAGAAATGAAGGAGATCAGAAAGTATACTTGTGGAAGGAGCAGTGTGCACAGAAAATGTTATGTTCTCAACAATTCACAACCTCCTGACTCACCTGTGTTTAATTCCTACAGCAAGCCGTCACAGTTGGATACACATTTAGCTGTTGTCTCATGGGATTTACCTATTTGATAGAACTTTATCCAACACATGTATGCACACACATTCATAGGCAGAAATATGCAGATAAACCAGGTTTTTAAATATGAAATTATTCCACCTTTCTGAGATTCAGAGCTAAGGGTGGCTAATAATCTGCTGCATTCCATCTACTATCCTCTGTCCTTTTTCGGTCAACCACCCAATATAATAATCTTTTGCCATTTTACGTCAGTTCACACTAGAGAGTGACAGGAAACATTAATAGAAAATAATTGTGTAAAAAAATAAGTGCAACAAGGGTCACTAGCAGATTTTCAATCAGATCATCTACTTGGAAGCCTCCACCTTTTTTATTGTTTATTTTTCTGTATCGATTATTGCACCAGCAAGGAAGCCAGGCAAGTCAACATGTTAAGACGGTGATATACAATACTAGCTCATATTTGGAAAAAATGAATCACTGTACTGGAGACGGTACACAAGAGATACCAATGCTGATATCTATCTATCCGGTTGTCATTTGTCTGCACACAGATAGCTCTGTGAATATGGGTTGTGTTCAGGTCTTCACCTTCCATGAGATTTTTTTACATTTATATTTTGAATAAAAATCAAAACTTTAAAAATGATATAGTGTATATAGTACTGTATATTTATACTAGGGGACCCTAGTTGGGGTCAGGACCCCCAGGTTGCGAACCAATGCTTTAAAACATAGATTCAATAGGAAAAGAGATAAAATGAACTGTTGTTGTAGTGACTACATTGATTGCTTCCACTTTTCTGATGAGCTTATTTTGTCATCGTCTTGTCCTCTGCAGGGATGACAGACGTTCCCCTGCCATTTCTCTGGTCCGCTTATTGACAGTTTGCCGATTTGTGGCCATAGAGGTTTTTTTCGGATATTTGTTGGAAACACTGAAATATACAACTTACTGTGCCAAACATTAACATGGGAAAAAATGCTTATGCTCCACACTTCAGAGCGGAGGAGCCGTAGGAGGGACATTATGGTGGAAGTGCATGTTCTTATTTTGGCAGCCAGCCTCCGTTATGGAAGAGAGTCATCATTATAACAGACAGACCAGCAGTTTGCAAGGGCAAAGGAAGAAAATTAGGTGAAAGAAAAACCCTGAAGGACAGATGCAGTGGCTGTATAATAAATATTTATGTAGAGACACACATATGGGAACATTGTCTGTCATTTCACTCAGACCCCTCTAATTTCCACCAGTATTCAAAAATAGAGAGATTGGTAGAGAATAAATAAGCAAGATCAGACCTTTTCTGTGTTTAGTGAATACTGGCAGCTTGCAAAAGAGGGAGGATGAAAAATGTATCAGGAGAATTTACTGCCCTCAGCCTGACTGTTCAACCTCTCTGCCACAGCTAACGGCATATAATGCATTGCCCCATCTGGTGATTCTGGCCACATTACAATTTATTTGCAGAATAATTGCACAAATATTAGGAGGCTGTAACAACAACTTTCAGTTTACATATAAACTAATAGTGTAATAAATGCGGAAAGTATATTTTACAAAAGGTGTTGTACTTTAGTGTCTGCACATGAGTAAATAATAAATGTATGCAAGGTGTTTGAACAGGTAGAATGTTATAATTAGATAGATTTGTGTGTGACATTCCTAGATTTTATATTAAGTTTAGCAGTGATGAATAACTTTATAAAGTCAAAGCAGGTTTCTGTATTATGGAGGAAAGTTTTGCTTTCATGTCCTTGAAATAAACTGTTGGCAGTTTTATATACACAATATGAAGAATCAATCTTACCACTTACATTGTGTGATGAATTATTATTTTAGAAAATAGGCATATTCAGTTTGTATATAAACTATAGTTTTCTATTTCATGATCATGTCAAAACAGCTGTGTCACTCAATTTGAGATCATTTTAGATATGTTTTCCTATGAATTAAGACTGATGTAGATCGTGTAGTTTACATGTGGTAGTTAGACCCTCTCTCCATATATGTGGAAATGGAAGTCTTTACCGGTGAATTGGCAATATCTTAAGCACACTTATTTCTGTCCTTTATATCCGTCTCCTCCTCTTCTTCGCAGTCGCTTTGGCAATAAGGTTTAAGGAGAGGACAGATGGAGGTTTTCCAGAACTGGGCTGTGGCATTAAAGTGCTTAAAATCTGTTTTGGAGCTTTTTTTATTTGATCAAATAAATCCGCTGGGTTAGCTAGCTATCAGCTCTTTCCAGGCCATCTGTCCCGCTCTGATTTCTCCGTCTCCTCTGCTCACTGATCTACCTGCCTGGGTCTCAAGGAGTTACCATCTGAGGGGCTCTGCACACGTTGTCCCAGCTCTGTTTCATGGTGGCCACATCTCTGCACTCGTGCTAAAAGAGAATGTTTTGTGTGGGGAGGACTGAGAGTGGTTGATACATTTCAGGGGTTAGGAGCCCAGACGTAGCCAATTTCTCCCACTGCCTCAAAGGCTGATTGGGGGAGTGCTTCCATTTTCTGACAGGTTTAAAGCAGCATCATTCAAGGAGATGGTAAGGGAGGATTTTGAGGTCAATACTGTATAACTCTTTTTTTCCTCTTCTCCATCCCTCTTACAACTCTTTCATTCTCTTTTTCCTTTTCTGTCCTGCTCTCATTTATCAGTTTTTCTATTCTGCCTGCTCCGCTTCCCAGAACCAGAGGATAAATTAACAGAACACACGACTGAATTAACACAACTATAGCTAGGCTATATTCATTTTTGTTGAAAAAAAAAAATGAGAGTCAACTGTTAAAGGAGGATTTCTGTGATAAGGAAATATAATATTGTAACAAAGATGGTGTATGAAATTAGAAGAGGTGATTTGAGGTGAAAGCCAAGCTGGTATAGTTAGATTTTAAAATGTCCATCAACTGGAAGAGAACACAGAGAAACTTTTTCTTTGTTTATTTGGTTAATTAAAGCTTATAAATATGAAACAAAGGCCTTGAGTCTCGGTGGGGAAAATTACAGCTTCCAAGTTTTTCACTCTCAAATGAGTGAATATTGTTTCAGACAATTCCAAACAAAGCAAAATAAAACCAAAACATCTAATCAGCTCAAGCCTGCATGTGCTAATGATCTACATCTCAGGTGGGGATAAAACACTGTTGAGGTGGATCATCAGTGAAATGCACCTTTAAGAATTGAGATGTTACAAAGCATGCCAAATGTTTATAGCTAACCCTGACTTGAGGGTTAACGATTGGTATTTGATGCTGCCTCGGCGACCACGCTCCTCTGACTCCAATCAATAGTCATGTTAATAAGCAGC